TCGCTTAACAATTTTCAAAACTTGATAAAATATTCTGAACATGACGAAACCGTTTCAAAGGCTAAACGGGATTTAGAATTACATCAGAGAAAAGCTAAGCAAACAAACGATTCTAAAAAATTAGATATTGAAAAACACAAAAATATTGAGAATACTGTCGTTGTTTGTTTCGATTTGCAACAGACATTGCCAACACCCCTAGTAACTACGTAAAAGGTATTTTATCTCGATCAACTATGGACGTACAATTTTGTATATACAACTTACTTACTGGACAAAGTCACATGTTTTTATGGAATGAAACAGTTGCAGCAAGAGGTTTCCAGGAAATAGGCTCATGTCTGATAAAATTTATCAGGGGTCTACCCCCCAAAGTAACAAAGATAGTTGCATATAGTGACTCTTTTGGAGGGCAGAATAAAAACATCTGCAATCTGTTCTCTTTCATCGTGCAAGTTTCTGGAACCTGGTCACACCTATATGGAGTGTGACCGCAGTTTTGGTTTAATCGAAAAGAAAAAACAACAAATTCCTCAAGTTTTTGTTTAAGCAGATTGAAAACGTGTTATAAAAAATACATCCTCAAAGTTTGTCGTTTACAACATGACGACAAAAGATTTTTACTCGTTTTCGATCCTACATGAAATAATGAAAGATTCTAAAAAGGATTCCATTGGCCAGAGAATACAATGGCGCAGTATTTCCTGGTTGGCATATTTTAAGACAGAAAAACTGGCTTTCAGGTACAAGCATAATTTTAACTAGGATATTGAGTTTTCGATGTGTACTATGGGAAAGGCACAAAGTGGACGTCCATCTTTTCAGCACTCAAAATTGAACCCTATAAAAGACATGACGCTACCAATTAAGGATGCCAAATATAAAAATCTGCTAAGCCTCTTGGACTATATTTCCTTATGTCACCACTCCTTTTACCGAAATTTGAAATATACTGGAACATCAACGGCAGATGCAAAATTGGAATTAGCAAAATCAGCTGCCAGCAGAGACGACGCCGACGGGAATAATGACGAAGAAGATATTTTCTTAGAGTTGGATTACGAATGATATTAATTACTATTAAACTAGGAGTAAGCCACAATTAAAGATAAAAATACGTTTATTGACGTTTCAATTTCCACTTCGGAAATCGTTCTCAAAATACAAACAGTAAATTAAATAAATTTTGTTTTTTGTTACATAGTAAAAAATTCTTCTAATAATTTAATTTTATCTGACTCATTTATATTGACAATTCAGACATACATTATGCATTTTAAAGTAGACGACTTTAAAATGATATTGCCAATATTGTTGAGTTGCGCTCCTGGGACGACTTTACTTATAAGATAGTTCATTCGATTACATGAAATCAACTTTAACTTGAGAATATCCGTCAGAAAAAAATCATAGCATGTAATTCGTCTTTAAAAAGACAAACACATGACATGATGACAGTAAAATTCTCCTGTTAGTGATTCCATAGTAAATTATAGAGGATACATCATTTATGTTTTTTAAATAACGTAACATATAAAATCAGAATTTTGATGTTTGTTGAAGGTAAACTAAATTCACGAACAAATACTTACAATGTCGGGATAGTATTATGAGGTTTTTTCCTGGTTTTCCCTCATAATTTACTATGGAATCACTAACAGGAGAATTTTACTGTCATCATGTCATGTGTTTGTCTTTTTAAAGACGAATTACATGCTATGATTTTTTCTGACGGATATTCTCAAGTTAAAGTTGATTTCATGTAATCGAATGAACTATCTTATCAGTAAAGTCGTCCCAGGAGCGCAACTCAACAATATTGGCAATATCATTTTAAAGTCGTCTACTTTAAAATGCATAATGTATGTCTGAATTGTCAATATAAATGAGTCAGATAAAATTAAATTATTAGAAGAATTTTTCACTATGTAACAAAAAACAAAATTTGTTTAATTTACTGTTTGTATTTTGAGAACATATGCGCACTGAACAATACATGGATATGCACCGACAGGAAACTCAACAGACGAGGAAGCTGAATCATTCTACGAGGATCTGACAACAGCAAGGAACCAAGAAAAATCACACTTCGTAATAATCACAGGAGATTTTAATGCAAAAATTGGTACAAAAGAAGACGGCGACACACAATATATCGGTCGCTTTGGGCTGGACAACAGGAACGAAAGGGGTGAGATGTTGTACAACTACTTAAACAACGAAAATTTATTTTGTCTCAACACTTTCTTTAAAAAATCTAAACAACGTAAATGGACATGGATCAGCCCAGACAAGAAAACTAAGAACGAAATAGACTACATACTCTCCAATAACAAAAACATATGCACCGACGTGACAGTACTAAACAAATTCTATACCGGGAGTGACCATAGATTGGTTAGAGCGAACATTAAAATACAGACGAGAGTAGAACGAAGCAAACTTATTAAACGAGAACGATACCCAACCACCGATGTCCTGTCTCAAAAACAAACGGAATACCAAAAAGAACTAAGCACAAGACTAAAATCAATAGAGACACTGAAACAATTGGATATAAACGGACTAGCCACTAAAATAAAAGTAACTGTAACAACATCGGTTAAGAAAATTTGCTCAAACACGAAAACAGCCAAAACATCTAAACTCCAACCTAATACAATTAAACTACTCCAAGAAAGACGAAACAGAACAGATCGAACTTCGGACAGCTTTAAAAGTTTAAACAAAAATGTGAAGAAAGAAATCAGGAACGATCATAGAAACTATAATAACAATCTAATAAAAAATATAATACAAGATAACTGCAACATGAAAGTACTCAAAGCAAAAAACTCAAGCGGCACAACAAAAATCATAGAAATAAAAAATGAGAAAAACGTCACCGTCAGAGACAGAAAGGAAATAAGCGAGGCCATTGAAAAATTCTACACTAAACTATACTCGGTAAATACACAACCACAACAACGACGTACTCAACGAACAATAATTAACACCGGCTCAGAAGAAATACCGGACATAACCGACTATGAAATAAGAATGGCCCTAAATCAACTTAAAACGAATAAATGTCCGGGAGAGGATAAGATTACAGTTGAAATGTTGAAAATTGGTGGCAGAAAAATGGAACAGGTATTAAATGTTTTATTTAATAAAGTAATTGATGAAGGAAAGATTCCTCAAGAATGGTACAACTCCGAGGTCATTTTATTATTCAAGAAAGGAAACAGAGCAAACATCGAGAATTACCGACCAATATCCTTGCTATCACATCTGTATAAATTACTTACTAAAATCATAACCAACCGCCTAACACATAAGCTCGATTTCTATCAACCTATCGAGCAGGCTGGATTCAGAAAACATTTTAATACCATAGACCACTTGCACACCGTAAGAACACTGATAGAAAAATGCACCGAGTATAATGTTCCAATTCATATGGCGTTCGTCGATTTCCACAAAGCATTCGATTCCATCGAATTATGGGCAGTGCTTGAATCTCTAGAAAATGCACGCATAGATTCAAGATACATTAACATAATTAAAAACATATATGAAAATGCCACAATGCATATAAAACTGGACGAAAGCACAAAAACTAATCCCATAAGACTACAACGGGGAGTAAGACAAGGAGACACCATCTCTCCCAAACTATTTACTCTTGCTCTAGAAGATATTTTTAAGAAACTGGAATGGAACAATAAGGGTATCAACGTCGACGGATCATACTTAAACCATTTGAGATTCGCAGATGACATAGTTTTAATAGCCGATAATATCCAAGAACTAAATGATATGTTACAACAATTAAATGCAGTTTCAGGAGCGGTAGGCTTAAAAATGAATTACAGCAAAACAAAAATACTGAGCCGAGACCAGACAAATATAACAATACAAAATCATACCATAGAAAATCTGGAACATTATGTATATCTAGGTCATGTTATCAAACTAGGAAAACCAAATCAAGATGCTGAAATTAAAAGAAGAACACAACTGGCTTGGGGCGCTTTCGGGAAACTAGCACATATCTTGAAAAACACCTCCATTCCTATAAACTTAAAGAAAAAAGTGTATAACACATGCATACTACCTGTTTGTACCTACGGCTTGGAGACAGTAGCACTTACCAAAAAATCTGCCAAAAAATTAGAAACAACGCAAAGAGCAATGGAACGAATCATGCTTGGAATATCACTAAGAGACAAGATTAGAAACACCGAGATACGACGTAGAACGAAGATTAGGGATATTGTGGAAGAAATTACAAAAATGAAATGGCGCTGGGCAGGTCACGTAGCCCGATATAATGACAACAGGTGGACACGGAGAATTCTAGAATGGAGACCAAGGACGACAACAAGAAGCATGGGAAGACCTCAAAAAAGATGGGTAGATGACATAAGAGCGGTGGCAGGCAAACAGTGGATTAGATTGGCGCAAGATAGAGAAAGATGGAAGCAATTGGGAGAGACCTACATTCAGGAGTGGATGGAAAATGGTTGACAAAGAAGAAGAAGATTTTGAGAACGATTTCCGAAGTGGAAATTGAAACGTCAATAAACGTATTTTTATCTTTAATTGTGGCTTATTCCCAGTTTAATAGTAATTAATTTACAATGCCACAAGAAAATAGCTTCAGAACAATACGAATGATATTGTACTAAAAGTTTACAAAATAAAGTTTAGTTGAATACCTACAAAATGATTAGTAATATCTAATAACTGCACTTGAACCGTTTTACCTATAGCATTTATAAACAATATGTCCCGATTAAAGTACATTTTTTCAATAATTGAAAAACAGAAAGGATGTAGTAAAAGTAATAATATACCCTTATATTTTTATCATTTTATACATCATTCCTAGAATTTGTAAAACTCAAACAACTTTGACACTGATTATCTCAGAACTATCAAAACTGCACTTAAACCCTTTTACGACTGACCCCCCTCAATTGTGGTTTTATGTAAAATCCATTAAATATTTTCAGACCTAGGGACTATCGAGGTAAAGATTACAAAATATCCAAGTCACCCTCCAGAAATCGCTCCCGTTCCAGAAATCGTTCCCGTTCCAGAAATCGTTCACGTTCCATAATTCGTTCCCGTTCCAAAATTCGTTCCCGTTCCAGAAATCGTTCCCGTTCCATAAACCGGTCCCGTTCCCGAAATCGCTCTCGTTCCAGAAATCGTTCCCGTTCCAGAAATCGATCACTTTCCAGAAACCGATCTATTGCTAAAAATTCACCAGTACGTCGAAGATCAAAATCCAGAGAGAGGAGTTGGGAAAGAAAGCGAGTGGTGAGAGAAACTTCGTTTGAAAGAGATTTGAAAGGAAGAGAAAGAATAAGAACTGTAGCTGATTTACCTTGGGATGTTAGACCACGTAAGTTGGTAAAAACAGGTTAAAAAATATAGGTTATAGACTAGGGCGGATGTGTGAAAAACGACTATATTTAGATGTGAGAGGTGGCATTCTGATTTTTACAGAAAAAGTTGTGTGACTACTTCAGTAATAATACCATCATCTCTTTGATGTTCACATCAAAGAGATGTTTACATTGTTTGTTACTCTTAGACTTTATTATTGGATTTCCGTAATCATTAAAGTCGTTTATATAATCCACAAAAACATTACCTGACTGCCAGATTAACTTGTGTAACAAAGATTTAGACTTAAGGTATAAATACAAATAGGGTCCGGCGGATTCGTGTTGTTTCTTTATGTGACAAAATTCTTTCGACGCAATAATTTAAAAATGATAATGAATATTTTGAGTAGCTCATGACTATGTTGAAGGAAACCTACTTCTAAACAAATTCAGTGATGCATAAAATTCAATAAAATGTTTTTTATCAGTTTATGATCAAAGAATTGGCGTCTTAGGCCCGTTGGACCCATCTTTTGCGGATAAGGGTTAAACATAATTGTAAACAATCTCAACTTATTCCTTGAGAATAAAAATATTTCGAAATATTCCTGGTTTAATAGCTATTTAGTCAGAGTCTGGACTATTGCAGATCAATTGAAACAAAGTTTTCGTCTTTCATTTGAGTAATTTTTGGACAGACGAGCATTTTCAAGGTCATAGCCATTAAGATAATCCACAAGCTCTATCACACAACTTTTTCTGTAGAAATCAGAATGCCACTTCTAACATCCACCTCAAAACAAATCCGGCTTGGTCTATTATAAATATTACTGAGTTCGTTATAATAGGCAGGATTGTGCACACAAGTAAAAAATATTATATTAACTGAAATGTACAGAGGTTTTAGACTGACTATTTTTACTTTGTTTTTTCTTTGGTAGGTACAAATGGTATTTAATTTTCTTTGTTTTCGATTTAAACTGTATGTATAAAAACTATTTGAGTAGTCTTATTATTTGCATTACAGAAAAACGTAAACTCAGGGGAAAAAAGAAAAGACTCAGCGGATCGGCTCGGAAGCAGTTAGTACTGCTTCTGAGATCAGAAATACCTTATGTGAAAGCTCTAGAACAGGTAACACAATCAAGAAACCCTCTGAAAGAGAAAGAAGGGGTTAAACCCTCTTCTACCTATACTCCTGGGGAAATGATCAGGTCAGGTACAAGAACTCATGCGGATGTACAGATAAAACGTTTCCGAAGCGAGGAGAGGAATTACGAAGCTACAACTAACGGAATCAAGGTAGACATAATCCACCCTGAGTACCCACTACAGCTAATGGATGATGATCATCTTGGGAAGCTCCAGAAGGCCATCCTACAAGCTGTCCAGAATATACCCGAGAACGGCCCAGAAATTAAATTCTACGGCTGTGAACGTCGGGTGGGATGCCTTCAGGTAACATGTGTTGACGAAATGGCTCATTGTGGTGACTGAAATACTCAATCTATGGGAAGGAGCAAAACTTACGGCGATCGAAGGAATCGATCTATCCAAATCTGAGGTATGTGTTGCATACATACCCGATGAGGATAAAGATGCCTCGGCTGAAAAAATACTGGGTAAGATGAATCGAGATCTGAGAACACAATACTGGAAAGTACTCGAATGCCAGAACGCTGGTCCAGGAAATATCTGGATTTTCTTAATATACGGGCCATATGTGAAAGCTTTGGGGAAATTAAACTATAGGCCCTTCTTCGGCTTTGGTCAGATCACGATCACTTTGGTTTCTAAAGCCGAAGTGCAGGGAACTTCTAGTGAAAATTCGAACGCCGAAAGGCCAGGATGTTCTAGAGAAAATTCGAACGCCGAAAGGCCAGGGAGTTTAAGAAAAAATTGGAACACCAAAAGGCCAGGAAGTTCTATAAAAAATCGGAACGCCAAAAGGCTAGAAAGTTTTAGAAAAAATTGTAACGCCAAAAGGCCAATAAGAAGAAATAATATTTTTTAAATGAGAAAACAACTCCTGTCCAGTAGTGTGTCCTTTCAGTGGAATGAACTTCAAAAGATCTTCTTTAATCGTAAAATCACTAAAAACCATACTGACGAACACGGCCATCTGGGCAGTGTCAACGACATCTGTTCATTCATCCAGTTGAAGTGAAAAATAAACACAGTTATCTAAGTCAGTTCTTAACTGTAAAAAAAAATCATTGCTCATTACTTCTACACGTCTCATCACCGTATTAGCAGAAAGTTGCATAGATTTTATAGCTGAAACTATCTCGTCTTTATTTCTAAAGTTGGCAAATAACGAATCAGCAGCTTCTAAAATCGCCTGTTTTATCATTTCCTCGTCTTCATAAGGATTCTTTTTTTGTGCAATTATCTGGGACACATGGTACGATGCTTCAATTGCAGCTTTATTTTTGTCGACTGTTCTTAAAAATATTGATTGTTATCCAATTAACTGTTTTTTTAACTGTTTCAATTTCTCCTTTCTGGCGGCAGAATGTAGTGGGAATGATTTTTCAAAATTAGAATGTACAGTTTTATGATGTCTCTCAATATTTCCTTTTTTATCAACGGAGACCGAAGTATTACATAACAAACACATTTTTATCTTTAACTGTAAAAAAGTATTGTTCTTCCCATTCCGAATGAAAGTGGTATGTCTTTACTTTCTTACAACTGCTTGCCATAATATTATTTTTGTTCTCTACTAACCCAACCGCTGGACGTTGGTTACGCGTTCAGTTTTAAACTAAGTGCAATGTCGCCGCGCCGTGCGTACTTATCCCGTTCAAAGCAATCCAGATCGTTCTCGAACACTAACGCGCTGGTCCGGCTGGTCGGTTCTATAAATAGCCGATTCTAGCTTGACGGCGTCAGGGGCAGATCGCTCACCGCAACGTTGCCGCTGTTTATGTTTAATATTATGACAATTAGATTTTTTTGTGGAATTTTCGGAAGCTTCTCTGATTTTTGCAGTTTGTATTTTTTAAATTAAAATCGTTGTGAGAGCTACAAGAATTGCCTCCGCGAGCTACCGGTAGCTCGCGATCGACAGGTTGGCGACCACTGCCTTAAAAAATCAATTGCGATCTGCTAAATACCTCCAGAGTCACTGTTTGGGCAAATAAAGTTGTTTAAATAATCGCTCTCTAAAAACTAAAAAATAGTAAACTCTGTTAGTTCTGGTAACTTTTTTTTAGTTTTTTTTTGCTGTAACCATAAGCACATCTGCGTAAAAATCAACGAACTCAGTAATTTAAGATTTAAGTATAAGCCATAGAAAAAACGCATTCATAATAATAACATAACATATCCAATAACAGCTTTATTATTACAGATGTAGATCCTTACCATATGCCAATTATGCGTGATAGAATTCCTATAGATGTAAGGGGTCTATCTCCAAAAGAAGAGGACGACAACACAGAAGTTAATGTGGTCGTAGTTCTTCGTATTCTTACTGCACTCGAAGATCGCTTAGGATCCTTAGGCCCCAAAGTTATTGATCTTTTAGCTCAAGCTTTAGCTTTGGAAAAAAATGAGGCCAATAGCTCAGATCAGCTACTCGACAATGATATAAATTGTGTTTTATTCGAAACGGTGAAGGAAAAATTGAAAGGTAGAGTATAATCTTTATAGCATTTATGTTATCGTTTACCTGACATGACATGAAAGGGTGATTTATGAAGTGCAAAAAAAGTACAAGTTCTCAACTAATTTTATTCTTGGTCAAAGTATGTGCATTTAATCTTCAATATTTTTCAAATTGGGTTTTGTGATACAGTCTTTTACTTGTAATTTACTTAATCCTTTCACGGGCAAGTTGGTAATGACCGTCATTGTTTTCATCAGAGCCTGTGCTGTGATCGACGGCGTTTATACTTTGTTTCAAGTTCAAGTAATTAATTTCACTAATAAAAGAATATGTATCTTCTTCAAGTGCCATCTCTGCGGCGGAGGTTGGCAATCATCATAGCTATTCGGAATTTTGAGACGGCTGCCCTGAAAAGTTCATTTTATGTACCGGGTGGTCCAATAAGCCGATCTCTCGGCTATATATCAGAAAGTATTCATGTTATAACTTTAGGAGAAAAAATTTCTTAGTAAAAGTGGCCAAGAGAAATCGCTGAAAATAACTTTCAAGATTCTGGATTAACCGCTAGGGGGCGTAACCTGCGAAGAAAATTTTGAAAACCCGTTTTTTGGAAAATATGTCCAATTATACCAAGTGTTAAATAAGTAAACTAGAAAGAGGCATAAATTCTGCACAAAGTTGTTCAAGTACTTTTTTTTTATTAATTAAATAAAGGGTGGGGGAGAGTGGGAAAGTATTTGTGGATAAATCCCTATAACTTTGGTTTGGATCAACCGATTTTAACAAAATTAGTGTCATTAGAAAGAGTATGGATGAATTAATTTACATCTACTATAAAATAATTGCATTTAGTTTTAATTGTCGTAGGTAGAGGGTACTTTCGAATAGAAAAAATTAAAATTTGTTTTTCTTCAAAATTTTTAATGGAAACATCTATTTATTGTAAATTATAATGGAAATGGATTAAATTCGTAACAAAATGGCGCAAACCGCATGTTAATAGCTTTTATCTAACTCGAGATATGAATAAAAACGCATAAACATAAGTAAGTATAGTATTGACACACCCTGTATTATAAAATAAATTAAAAAATAAGTCAGTAGGTACTTTCAAAATATTTTGACCATTGTTATTTCATATGATTAAAAATTGTTTTTTCGAAACTAAGTAGGCTACGACAATGAATTTGACAGGGAGTTCATATTGTTTATTTATTGACAGCAGTCAAAATATTGTTAAGAAGTGTTATATGTATTATAATTCGAATTGAAAATTGCATTTTTTTCATTGGATATTAATATTGGTAATATTAGTAATTAATTATCAGTACTAATAATTCATGATGAGTATATCAAATTGTATGATATGATCGGAGTTTATTTCGAATATCACCAAAATGGCGCTATTGCCTCACGTATATATTCTGTAAGATATCCTGGCAGGAGATACTGTGGCAAAGAAGTAGAGATTTCGGACTACTTATATGTGGATTCTGTTGAATTAAAGCAAGAACATTGATTGAATTATCTTCGGTCATAACTCTACTACGTCGTTTAAAACAAGGACGAGAAAAGCTACCAGTTTCTCTTAATCTTTTTGCCTTTCTTTCAAATACTTCTTTGCCATAATGTCTCCTGTCAGGATATCTTACAAAATATATACGTGAGGCAATAGCGGCATTTTGGTGACATTCGAAATAAACTCCAATCATATCATACAATTTGATATACTCATCACGAATTATTTGTACTGATAATTAATTACTAATATTACCAATATTAATATCTATTGAAAAAAATGCAATCTTTAATTCGAATTATAATATAGCATTTCTTAACAATGTTTTGACTGCTGTCAATAAATAAACAATATGAACTCCCCGTCAAATTCATTGTCGTAGCCTACTTAGTTTCGAAAAAACTATTTTTTACAAAATAGGTATCAACATTAAGATTCTTCTGCTATAAAAAAATTTGAAAATACCTACTGACTTATTTTTTAATGTAATTTATAATACAGGGTGTGTCAATACTATACTTACTTATGTTTATGAGTTTTTATTCATATCTCGAGTTCAACAAAAGCTATTAACATGAGGTTTGCTCCATTTTGTTACGAATTTAATCCAGTTCCATTATAATTTACAATAAATAGGTGTTTCCATTAAAAATTTTGAAGAAAAACATTTTAATTTTTTTTATTTGAAAGTCCCCTCTACCTACGACTATGAAAACTAAATGCAAGTATTTTATAGTAGATGTGAATTAATTTATCCACACTCTTTCTAATGACACTAATTTCATTAAAATCGGTTGATCCAAACCAAAGTTATAGGTTTTATCCACAAATACTTTCCCACTCTCCCCCACCGTTTATTTGAAAAAATAAAAAAAAAAGTACTTGAACAACTTTGTGCAGAATGTATGCCCCTTTCTAGTTTACTTATTTAACACTTGGTATAGTTGGACATATTTCCCAAAAAACTGGTTTTCAAAATTTTCTTCGCAGGTTACGCCCCCTAGCAGTTAATCCAGAATCTTGAAAGTTATTTCCAGCGATTTCTCTTGGTCACTTTTACTAAGGAATTTTTTCACCTAAAGTTATAACATGAATAGTTTCTGATATATAGCCGAGATATCGGCTTATTGGACCACCCGGTACATCCGTACCACTCTCAAGTTGCACAGCCATGACATTCTACATCTCCCTATGCTTCTCTTTCCTTGTATCTTTAATGCATAATCATTTGGAGCAGGGTGTATTTCTCTCCACGTGTAATATGTCCGAGATATTCTAATTTTCTTGTTTTTACTGTGTTTAAAATTTCCATTTTTTTATTCATTCTTCCAAGAACTTCTTTGTTTGTGACGTGTTCTGTCCATGATATTTTCAATATTCTTCTGTACACCCATAGCTCGAATGATTCCAGTTTTTTCATTGATGTCACATTCAAGGTCCAAGATTTCATTCCATAAAATAAAGTCGAAAAAACATAGCATCTCGCCAACCTCACTCTTAGTTCCACTTTTAAATCCCTGGTACATAGCACTCGTCATAGCACTAGTCCCTATCATTGCTTGAAGTTTTTACTGTTGCTAGTTCATTTTACTTGATTAATTTAAAGTTTGAAAATAATAATAAGCCTTCGTTGACAATAGTGTTTTTGTAGAAATAATATAAGTTCTACTAAAGTTAAATAAATATAAATATTGGTTTACATAGGTCAAATGATTGCTGGGCTAGTAGACCATATTCAACAACGAGCGTTCAAAAAAGCTATAAAGAAGATAGCGGCTTTGATGCACGAGGCTGGTCAAAGAAAGAAACACCGAGAAAAACTTCTTCCAAAGGAAACCGGACCAAGTACTGGCGTGGATAAAGCTGCTATTGCTAGACAAATCGCTAACGCTCTTATAGCTCAAGGAAAAACAGATGTCACACAAGCTGAATTGGAACAACTTATTAATGCAGTGGTAAGTAATATTTGTGATGATTTTAAGTAATTTGTTGTACACCAGGTAGTTACCCCAAAGATGACACATTACTTAAAGAAATCGGTTTTTGCTATGAGCTAATGAGCCTCCAGTTGCAAACAGACAACCTAATAAAAATAATTATAGAAAAGGTTATTTGTTCCTTATTTGTCCTTGTAGTAATGCTAATATTGATTTATATTTATATGTATTATATGTATTCTTTTCTAGGTTGCTATGGCAGAAGCATCCAAAGTTACAACAAAACCTGTAACAACTGCAGGATTCCTACAAATGATGACCGGTGCAGGATCTCAAAATAAATCCTCAGACAACGTTAACTTAGATCAACTAACAGAACCTCTAACTCCAAGTCCAGGGAAAAATTCTACAAGTAATATGGAAAACCTATCAGATTCAGATTTACAAACTCTTTTGCAAAATTTCAAAGATCTGTCAACTGAAGAACAACACAATCTAATAAATTATTTAAAAAAGCTAGAGCTTCAGGAACCCGAACGAGTAGAAAAATTAAGGAAATTTGTCAGTTTAGATTCAAATTCCAAAGATGATCAAAAAGAAACAGAAAACGATGATGATGAAGATAAGTCAAACTCTAAAGATGGCCAAAAGAGTCCCAGTTCAGTTAATAATAGTAAAGTAAGTAGACTAAAGTTTAGAAGTTTTCAGCGATTTTCTTTTTATTCATTTTATTTATGTACTGATAATATGTTAAATGTTTATATATTCATTATGCCAAATTGATTTCTTTCTTTTGTCATTCTTATTAATGAGTGCATAACCATACCTTTCTAGTCTCTTACATTTCATCTTACATCTCTTATATTTTTTACCCACATATATGTTCTTTTTCCTGAGTCACGTAGCACTAGACGAAGATCTGATCTATTGTGGACTTCTGCCTGCGGAAACCACATTGATATCCCCCAACTATTTGTTCCGCATATGGTCTCAATCGGTCATACACAGATCTTTTTGTATTCACGTGTAAGTGCGTCAACTCGTCGTAAATGTGGAGGTGGAATGTGACTTAATACTGGAAGCCATTGAGTGGGAGTTGATTTAATTGTACCAGCTATCATCCTCATAGTGCTGTGCAGCTGAGTGTCAACCTTTTTTACGTGTGGACTGTGTAGCCAAACTGGGGCACAATATTCAGCAGTCGAGAAAACAAGGGCTAAAGCAGTAGAGCGGAGATTGGAAGCCGATGCTCCCCAGGTGGTACCGCAGCGCTTCTGTATAATGTTATTTCTTGTACTCAACTTTTGGGCAGTTTTTGTTAAATGCTCTTTAAATGATAGCGTTCTGTCTAGTGTTACGTCCAGGTACTTCGGTGTTTTGTTGTGGGAAAGTGTGGTATTTTTAAAGCGTATGTTGAGTTCCTTTCCAGCAAGTTTATTGTTCAGGTGAAAGCAACTAACTTCTGTTTTGGATGTATTTGTTTGAAGCTGCCTCTTGCGAAAATATTTGCTTAATATATATAAGTGTGCCGTCAGAACTTCTTCAGATGTTTCTAGTGTTCTGCATCGTGTAGTGAGGGCCCAGTCATCGGCGTATCCGAACTTTCTTGATTGTGCTTCCGGCATATCTGCTAAATATAAGCTAAATAGTAATGGAGAGAGCACTGACTCCTGTGGTAGGCCATTCTTAAGTTTCTTTAGTGGGCTGATATCTGTGCCCAAAAATTAATTACCATTAATTGAATTAAAACTCTTTGTGGTCCGCTTTTTGACCTGCAACCTATTATCAATGTATTCTCCTATTTTTAAATGTGTGATCTTGCAGCGAGATTTCGTACGAATACGTAACTGCTGTTTACAAATATAATATCTTTATTTACTTTGAGTCAGAGGTGCTATCCTCATTAAATAATTATTGTGTTCCAAATGTTTCACACATTTTAATTTTAGATATTTTTCAGCTTATCAACATTGACTCCGAGGAAGAAAATGAAGACGAGGAGAAAAAAGAAACAGAGTCAGATAAACAGGATAAAAAGGTAACGGTAGACTCTGATGAAGAAGAATATTCATTTGACGATGTTGTTAAATCAGTCAAAGATAAAGAAATTGAACGTACAAAAACTGTATTAGAAGATACCCTCAAGTACGATAGCTCAAAACCTAACTTAAAGAGTGCTAAAGATTTAATATCGGATCTTATGAGTAATATTACGAAGAAGAATGCTTCTACATCAAAAAGTGTTGATTTATTAGGATTGGGGAAACCTCCTGCATCGAATCCTTCTATGACGAATGTTGATTTGAGCAAATTATTAAATATTAATATTGCAAGTCTCGCTAGTATAGTAAATAACGTTAAAAGTATGACTTCAAATGACCCCACTACCACAAATATTACCCCTGGATCTCCAAAGAGAACTCAACATAAATTGAATTTTGATCTTTCGCTACTTAAATCAGACGATAATAAGGTTTCGTCAAATGAAGACAATCCATTTGTTGGACCAAATAAATTTGGTCCTAATCGCTTTGGCCCAGGTGACGCAGGGGACATGAATAGATTTGGAAATAATTTTGATAGATTTCCACCCGATCAAAATAGATTGCCAGTTGGCGGTCCAGGCATGATGGGAGCAAGAGTTCCTGAACGATTAGGGCCTGGACCTGGAGGACCCGACCTGTTTGGACAGGATAGATTTGGACGTGGAGGACCAGATCGTCTTGGTCCTGGAGGACCAAATCAGTTTGGCATTGGAGGACCAAATCAGTTTGGTCCTGGAGGACCAGATCGGTTCGGACCCGGAGGCCCGGATCGGTTTGGACCTGGAGGACCAGACCGATTTGGACCCGGACCAGATCGGCTTGGTATCGGAGGAGGGGATCGGTTTGGACCTGGAGGACCCGAACGGTTTGGACCTGGAGGACCAGATCGATTTGCACCTGGAGGACCAGATCGGTTTGCACCTGGAGGACCAGATCGATTTGGACCTGGAGGACCAGATCGTATTGGGCCTGGCGGTTCTGATAGATTTGGACCGGGCGCTCAAAACAGACTAGGTCCTGGAGGACCACCTAAGACATTCGGAGCTGACGGTCCAGATAAATTTGATATTCCTGGACCAGATAGATTTGACGCAAGAGGTCCGGTGAGGATGCCTGCAGGACCAGACAGATTTGGTGCTGGAGGCCCCAATAGATTTGGTGGGGGTCCAAATAGAATGGAAGACAATCTTGAAGGCTTTGGCGGTCCTGATAGGGGATTCGGTCATTCCGATGGAGGGATGACAGGACTTGGAGCACCAAGAGGTATGGGTCCTAGAATGAGTGGGCCTAATAGTTCGAGAGGAGGCAATAATCACTTTAATAGAGGTGGACCAAGACCAGGTCCAAGAGGTTTACAGAGATTGCCAGCTCCAGATTTCAATCGACCAGTTGGAAACTTTAATAATAGGTGGTAGATTTAAATAGTTGTAGTAAAATTGATGTATTAATAAATATTTCTGACTACACTTGAATTATCCTGTATAGTTTCTTTATTTCTATGTTATGTTTCTTTCTAAAGTAAAACAAGTATTGGTCTTACAAAATTTCATGAACTTGAGTCACTCATTTCGTGATGTCAATCTATGACCGAAGTTATGAAATCCAACATTACTGAAAACATTTATTTGTCTGTAGTGCGTTCTCATAGCAAGACAGGTGTCCAAGTTATTCTTTTAGTAGTCGTTTTTAATACTTCATATTTAATTTAGTATGAAATTAAAATAGTCAATGTTTTTTGGATTCATTTTTTGTTCCAGCCTGTGCATTTCCAAGGTTCATGAAGTTTTGAATAATCCCTAACTTATAATATTTGACTTGATTTTTTACTTATTTTTACAGTTGTTGATAGTAAATATTAATAATGTGCAGTCAATATAATATTTATATTGTGATTGTGTTTCATTAATGAATTGTTTCATTCAATTTTCACCATTAACATTTGAAAAGTTTTAAATAAAAACTTAAATTATTACAAATTGTACTTTAATGAAATTCAAAGTATCATTGTCATAAAGAATAATATATTTTAATTAAAGACATTCTTATGAGTCAAATATTCTTGTTTTAATTATTAAATCACAGGTACTTAGGGGAATTATACTGCCCAGCTATGGAGACCTGGACAAAGAAGTGAGAGATCTAGTACAAAATCAAATAGACTGGCAGGATGCCTTAGGGCGAACGCCCACCAAAGTGGCGTGGCAGTGGCAAGTAGCAAGTAGCACGCGTCTAGCATAATGTAACCAATCCTAACGAATGATTAGAATGAATGACGTTTACTGTCATTTTGGTGTAAACTGAATCATTCGTTTTCATTGGTTACATTATGCTAGACGCGTGCTACTAGCTACTTGCCACTGCTACGCCACTTTGGTGGGCGCTCGCCCTTAATAACACTATATCGCGAAACAGACACATTAGAAAACTAAAGTAGGTTAAAAGAACAACAAACAGGTATCCTAATTTCTTTACTTATACAGGTAAATAAATCTGCAAATGCTTTGGTTTTGGCTGAATATAAACCACAGACGAGAGATGACACATCAGCTTAGTAGGAAAGCATATAGGTGTCACAATGAAAATATTGAGAACAGTAGCGCACCTAGAATTTTCCTCTGGGGGGGGGGGGTTTGGTTGGGCCTCTGGGGGGGGAGTTTGGTTGGGCACCGAAATTTTTTTGTTACCTCCACCATTTTAAGTCCTTAAAATTTGTAAATAACTGTTGAAATAGGGACCTGGGTGGGGAGGTTTAATCCCCAAACCCCCCCTGGGTGCGCCACTGATTGAGAATAATGTACAAACTGACCCTAGTAGTTTTTGGTCCTTTATAAGTTTTGCAGCAGGAGCCATAAATAATAAAACTCCGCTGGATGTCATTTTTACCGACTGTACCAAAGCTTTTGATAAAATTGATCACTATACTATGAGGTCATATCTTTCTGATCAGGTTAAATCAAGTTAAAGTGGGAAACAGTTTATCTAAGCCATTTATGTCGACATCAGGTGTACCATAAGGTAGCAACTTGGGTCCTCTTCTGTTCGCTATATTTATTAACGATTTACCTCACTGTGTGAAGTTTTCGACAAGCCTGCTATTTGCAGATGATTTTAAGATTTTTCGAGAAGTTTCAACTCTGCAGGACTCTGAAATGCTGCAATGTGATCTGAACTCAGTAAGTCAATGGTTCGATGGTAACAAAATGTTTCTAAACACTTCTAAATGTCATGTTTTTACTATCACTCGAAAAACATAGTTCATAGAGAACCAATACAAAATTTCTAGCACTGTACTTGGAAGAAAGAACACTTGCAAAGATCTTGGAGTAATGGTCCAGCAAAATTTTAGATTTAATGAACATTATCAGATCATCAATTCGTAATTTAAATTTTTTTAAAAGATTTCAAACTATAATATCATTATACAATGCACTGGTAAGACCTCACTTGGAATATGTCCCTATTGTATAGCCGAATTCAATATAAATTTGATTGAAAAGGTTCAAAAACGATTCTTGAGGTTTCTTTATGTCAGAAAGTTTGATATCTATCTATACATGATTTCCTATAATGCTATGTTAACTTGTTTTAAAGTTCAGCGACTGGATAATAAAAGAAAATTTCACTTAGCCCTTTTTATTTACTATGTTGTAAATCACATTAAATATAAAGATTGCTCTTTTATAAATAATATTAAATTTAGTGTTCCAAAAATACATCTAATAATTAATAACAAACGACTGTTCTCAACTAATAAGACTGATTGTTCACCCATAAATAGGATGTTAGAAGAATGTAACCAAGTGATAATCGGCCTAGGTTTATTTTTTAATATAGTTATTTGTTTTTACCAGTAGTAAGCACTCTCTTAATGTAATAACAATCATTTTGTGTTTTAAAGGAGGTTAAATAAATAAATAAAACGGTTTTTCATAGGTTGTGTTTTAAAATACTCTCACTTAATCACAAATACATAAAAAATATCTCTAATGCTCATGAAATGCTAACGTTTTTGTTTGTAAACTGACCTATGGTTCGCAGTCGACATGCACATCTGACTAAGGCCCAATGTAACTCTCACGGATGCCATGCTCAGGTAAAGTGTTAAATGATTTCTTGAACATTTCACTAAAAATTATTGTGATAAAAACAATGGAATTTAAAAAATACAAAAGTTAAATTTAAATTTTGTTTATTAATCAACTATATGTACATAGTAAATGGTTTATCACTAGCATGGGTATATATAACTTAAATTTTGAATCCTAGTTTTCGCATACACTCCTTATGAGCTTCAATGAGGTTTTGGCAGTTTTCTTGTCCATTTTCAATAATACTGAAACAAATTGAGTAAATTAGATTGTAAATGTTTTTAGACAATTTTTCGATTCTTTCATGTATTGTTTGGTCCAACTTAAAATGTTTTTTGAAGCGTCAAGTCGTTTTGTTAACTTCATAAATAACTCTTATTTTAAAATGAGAATTATTGTAATTACTTTTAAGAACCATGGAAATGAGAACTAAGAAAAATATATGTGACATCAAAGACGTAGTACGATGGTAAGATCATGAGAAAATAAGGAAGTTCAACCACAAATGACAGATTGTTTAGTTAAGCTAAAATTGACCTCGACCGCCAACGAGATGGTGGGAAAGTTTAACTGAAGGGTCTATTTTACGCTACTATACGCTTGAACCATTGAAGAAAACACGTCACAAAACATAAAAAGTCTTCTTCTTTATAAGCAATTCTGCTTTTCATTGGCAAATTAATACCCCTATGGAAGATTTCCACTCCATCTTTTATTTATTTATTTATTTATTTCAACGGTAGAACCATTTACAATAAAAAACAACAAAATATAAAAAGTAGAGATCATGTTACAGAGTAAAAATCAAAACAAATACCAGAAGGAACAAGTAAACAGTTAAAATTTGACATTAAAACAATATATCCTATCAGAAAAATATAAAAAAAAAGTTATCACTATATCACATAGTAAGTATCACATAACTAGATAATAGTCAGATTCTAAGTTGCCTTTGGAAAGCCATCTGAAAGTTTGGGCTAAAAGGATCCAATAAGAGTCATTGCAAGAGCTAAACATTCTCGACAAGGAAAAGACGAGCATAAGCAGGTCCTATGAAAAAAAGGAATACAAAAAGATGCAGTGTGGCGAGTTCTATGGTAAATGTGTGTAAGTGTACATTGGCTAATAACCGAGGGACAATTAAGTAACAGTGGTTTTAGAATTTTAAACAAAAATAACATATCACTCTCAACCTCGGGTCTTCTTCAAATGGGCATGTTTTTTTTGAAAATGAAGACATAGTAAGGAATAGATCTATAAATAATTTTCAGATATTTATTATATTAATAGGCAGCTTTAAAGCTAAAGATCTTAAAAGTCTTCCTCCAAAGTGCTCTCCATCCAACAATGATAATAACTTGAGGAAATTGGGGACGCAGCACAACAGAGAACTATATTGCAAGACCTACGTACCAAAGCATACAATGAATTATAATACAATAGGTTAGTATCATGACTTTACGGTAAAAATAACCAAGATTATGAAAGCATTTTCCTCATCTCCATTAAAACTTCTCTATTATACAGGAGTGGATAACCTATTGTATCTACGATGTTCGATCTTCTAAGTACTAGTGATTTCTCTGAAATATTGCTTTATTAACAAATAACTAGCATATTAACACATCATCCACCAAGAAAGAGTTCATTCCTATCTTGTTGTACAAATCGCCTTCAAAAGCTTATCCTTTGAGTTATAGCACTTGTAACATTTATAGTGTAAGTTATAGATAGTAGGTAAGCAAGTTCTAATAGAAGATTTGACAATGACATATCGAAGGCGATTTATTAAGAAAGCTCAACAACAGATGCCATAGATAAGTAAAGCAAATTAGGAAAAATGCTTATTGATTATAAAATGAAGATTAACCTGCTTGTGTTATAAACTTCCAACAAAGACTTAGTTCAATAAACAAGCAACTATCTTACAGCAATGAAGAGAAATCAGAATACACAAACAACAAATTAAGATGATTATTACACAAGACAATGACAAAACTGTAAAAAAACAAGAAGGAGACACAGAATAGAATTTTTTATAATAAAGGTGTGGTCAAGGAATTCATTATCTGCAACTCTGTTTAATCTTGCCCTGGAACATATAGTCAGAAAAAGCAAGAAAGGTACACTTAGAAAGAGAGAGGGACAAATAATGGCATATGCAGACAATATTGTATTAATAACAAAGAAAAGAAAATCAATGGAAAGTATGTTAAAAGAATTGGTAGCAGAAGGGAAAGCAATGAGCTTAGTAATAAATTGAGAAAAAACAAAAATAATGAGATTTGACAAAAAATATGAAAACAAAAAGATTAGACTGGGAGAATATATATTTGAAGAAGTAGAAAAGTTTAAGTATTTGGGAATATTATTAACAAACAATGGAGAAAGGGAAACAGAAATTAAAGAAAGGATAATTACAGCAAATAAGACATACCATACCAATAAAAAACTTCTAAAAAATAAATTACTGACCAAGAAATAGAAAATGAAGATATATAAAACAATAATTCGACCAACTATGATGTATGCTGCCGAAACACTTAGCATGACAAAAAAACAAGAGGAAGACTGTTAAAATACTAGAAAGGAAAATACTAAGGGTAATATTAGGAGCAATAAAAATTAATGAAAACCAATATAGACAAAGAACGAATCTAGAACTACTAAACGAAATTAAAGAGGATATACTTTGTAAAATAAAACAGCAAAGGGCAAAAATGGCTAATACATATATGGAGATCAGGACCATCTACGACCATATTTTCAATATTGGAATGGACACCAGCTGGTAAAAGAATATGTGGAAGACCAAGATCTACATGGCTACAAGAAGTAACAAATGATCTCAACAGGGCGGGCGTACGGCAATGGAGAAAGGAAACAGTGGAGAGAAATAATAGGAAAAATTAAATAAAGAAAATGAGGATTGATCTACCTCGTAACATAAATCTAGACAGCTTAATCGGAGTAACCCTGTGTGGAGTGTTTAGCCACAATATATACATATATAATAAGAAGACTTGAGTTGCATAAATTTTCAATAGAGACAGTAAATGTTATGAAGTTTTACTTAAATTGAGATTGTATTCAGTTTCATACATATTATTTTAATTTTATTTTCAATATATATATATATATATATATATATATATATATATATATATATATATATATATATATTAAGCACCTGCGATTGGTTTACAAGTTACAAGACCTGAGTAGAGAATATAACGTAAGTGGAAACCTCTGCTGAATGAATTACTGCTACCAAATTTTCAAGAATGAAGACACATTTCAAAGAATTTATTTAAATATAAATGTATTTAAAAATTAAGTTCACAGAATAACAAATTGAGAAAACAAATCATAAAATTAAAATGGATTCATTTCTAACAGTATTACGTACACAGTTTTAAAAATTGTGTTGACAATCTGGTGTTGACATTTTCTGAGTAGCCACTGGTCTTTTTCCAGGTTGTAGTATACCCTATGTGTCTTGATTTTGTATAATTTGAGCAGCTTTTAGTTGTTCCATGTTAAAATCCTGTATTTCTATTATAAGTTGGTGCCTTTGGTGTTCAAATCTTTCTATTTCTTTTTCCAAAGTTTTGTTCAGTTCATCAAAGCATCTTAATTTGATTTCAAGTTTTTTCATTTGAGTGTTTAGAAGTACAGCTGTAGAAAATTGTATCTGCCTTTCCTCTATTGAAGCTAAATGTTTAGCTTTAACTGCTGCAGTAGCTAATACATCAGCAGCTGCACTCTGTATTTCACTATGTTTTCTAAATTCATTGTTTTTGGTATATCTGTGCAGTTTTTCATCTTCTTTAACTGTACTCAATATATTACCTTCATTTTTCTCTTGAGATTTTCCATTACCTTCATAATTTTCTTTATCTTCACATTCATAATCATTACCACGTATATTAACAGTCTTATCACTTACTTTTAAATTAGATGGTTCCTTATAATTACCACTAGAAGGTTTAAAAGTTTTAACATTTGAATCTGTAATTACTGCATCTTGAATAGTAGAAAATTCATCCATAGCTGACTTAACAGCTGCTGCTGCTACCTTAGGATCTACAATAGATGCTAAAAATGCTACAGTTGACATGACTGGATTTCCCATATCACTAAATGGAATGGGTTCATATGCTAAAGGTCCTAAAATACTTCCACTACCTGGTCTTTCTAAGTAAGGATCTTCAATTGGTAATCTGAGAAAATGAAGAATGCATTCATTTTGACTGCGAGAACCTACATGATCACTGACTTTATTCCAATCATTTTTATACATTTCCAATCCTTCCAGAAGAAGAAGAGTCTCCTGATCTGTCCAATCTCCTCTTACAGATTTTACTCCCTTCTGTCTGAACGAATTAGATTTTTTAGCATACTGGTCTAATTTTAATCCAAAGTTGCCCATCTCAGCAGCAGATTTTGATTTCCTAATTTTAGTTTTATCAAGATTCATGAAATTTCTTTTTCTTTTAACTGATAGTTTTTTTGGAGTGTTAATAGATTGGAGATCTCTTTGAGTATCAGACAGAATATGGAAATGAGAAGTAGATGGAGGACCCATGGGTGTTGGTTTGGATTCAGTATCTACTTGGTAGTTGATCAACCCCCATTGTTCAAGAAAAGCATGAACTCTCATTATGGCACAAACATCCCCTGCAAGGTTTCTTCTGCAAGCAGTACTAGTTATATATTCTATTGGGTTGAGGCGATAAGTATCTATCATGAAATTTCTATATGCTAAATATATATCTGGTGTCTTAGACTTGTTTTTACCATTGAAAAATTCTGGTACTGCCCGCTTTTCAACAGCATGAATGGAATGGTGATCAAACCATGCTGAATAAGAAGGAATAACAATATGATGTTCTTGAGCTATCACAATTCTGTCTTGTCCATAATCTGTTTTGGTTTCACTATTATCATTATCAATATTCAAATCTTTCATGGCATCTTTATTTTCTTCCATCCCGATAATTAAACTTTTTTGTAATGGTAGAAGTTTAGTGACTTCCTTATTGAATTGGTCAGTTTGTTTTAAAGAGACAATTTCTACAATGTTTGCCACAGTAGAACTATTTATATCTTCATTAACATGATCTGCTAAGCCATCATTTTGAGGGGACTCTATTCTTAGTTTCTTACCAATAGAATGATTTCTACAAATTGTCTGAGCTTTACGGGATGCAGAGCGTTTCCTTAGTATTCTTTCCATTTTAAAAATAAACTTTTCACATTCCAATGTGTAGTTCACTACTTAATCACAATACTCCAGTTAGTTACTCATATATGGAATGAAACTTCTTTGATTATGTGATTTAATGTAATTCTTTAGACAAAGAAATTACCGGGAAATAACAATCATAGTTGTCACGGAAATTTTCTCTCCAATGTTGTCTATTTCGTAGTTATCAAATATCTCTATTTTCGTGTTAAAAATTTAAAATGGGACATTATTTTGAAACATAAAGCACCGCATACATTAAGTTATATTTCCCAAGTATTTCACTTTTTATTAATAAACCGACAACGTCGCATGTGTCACTTTTATAATGTACCGAATGTAAAATTAATGTTTGTAACAAAATTGATATATAAATATGCGTATATTTTGGAAATAAAACGGCATAAAAAATTATTAGATGCTTCTTACTCTTATTTTATGGATTTTGAAACATGAAAATTTGTCAAAAAAAAGATAAAACTTACCATGCGTCTCTCGCCTTTTTGGTCTCTGGACACGCGCAACACGGCTTTAATTTTTTAGGTTCGGCATTTTCTTCTACAGTGCTAGTGGAAGCAGCTTCGACTTTTTCGTTAACATTGCCCATTTTTGTGTTTTGAATTGCGTAATTCAAAAAAATTCAGATAATGTCAAGTCTGGACCAAATAATAACAAAACATAAGTCAAACGTCAACATTAATTCGTTCTTCTTTTTTTGCTTATTGGAGTTTTAATCTTTCAGTAATTTGATGTACGATATAAGAAACAATTTCTATTTTTATAATAACGGGTACAAAATTTACCACAATATAGATATACCAAAATAATGTCAAATCTTAAACGTTTTGCTTGAATATAAAAATTTAATATGTATATAAGCAGTTACAAACCTTTATTATAGTAGTTTTCTTACCCAGTACGCTACTGAAGTAGGTCGAATGTCACACAACCTTAGAGGAACAGTGACGTCTCATGAATTTAAATAAACCATTTCAAATGATTATTTAATATGTTAACAAAATAATTTACAGTTAGCCACATAAGTAATAACTACTATCTTGCTTTTGTTCAACGCATTAGTGTTATAAAACTCACTAATTGATTTGTTATTTCTTATTACCTGCAAACATGTGCATATATCATTATTTTTAATTAAGTATTATGTGATAATTTTTAATCTTTAGTTGCTAGTTTAACGTAGACTGGTGGTATATTTCATTATTTTTAATTTAGTATATGTGATCATTGGATATTTTTTTCATTAGTTGCAAGTTTGACGTACACTGGTGGTATATTGAGGAATATATTAATTTGTTGATTGTTAATGACATAGCAGTTTACCTTCTAATTATTAACAAAGGTCAACAACATACTGCAATCAAAATGTCTTCAGTTGAATCCATAAAAGTAAGTTTATTAGGATATTTTATGAAGAAAATGCATTTTATTTTCTTTAATGTACTATTTATCACCTTCATATTTAATAAAATGGTTAATGCATTGGCTATTAGTGATGAGAGGAAATAATATGATATATTTAGCAATTCAAAACCCTCCTATTTATTAGTTATTTAGTAATACTAAAAAAACTGTATATTCTAATACATACAATATATAGATACACATGGTCTCATCATCCATTGTGTGGGATTACATTGTTTGGATTTTTTGTGTAAAATTTTGAGGAATGTCAATTAAAAAAAAGGTAGATTGCAAAATTATTATGCAAAAATTATGGAATGGTTTTTAATGAAATTTGGTTGACTGTTTTATTATATTATAATGATTTTCTAGGTGAATTATGGAGACCCTAAGTATAATCTTAAGTGGTTGAAAAACATTGAATAAAAAGAGCCTTGTTTTCCCCCCTTTTGTTGTATTTATTGCTGTTATGCAGCAAGCAAATTAAAACTTGTTAAACCAGTCCTCCATCTTATAGGAAATTCAACTATCACTGTTTTATTTTGATTAGGACTTTGCTCCAAAATAACTCTTTTAAAAGTAATAATCACAGAAATTAGAAAAAAAAACAATTTTTTAGTAATTTTTAGAGCATGTGATTTTCAATTGTGCAAACTTCTATATGCTACACAGTACACCAAACATTATACAAGAATCTACAAACAGCTGAGTTACTCTCCCCACCAATTTAAATACCATTCTATGTACATGTAATATAAATTTCTACCAATTGTTTATGATCATAAAAAAAAATAAGAAAATTGGTATTGTGACGAGTTGACCAGAAACCAATATTGTGACCTGTCATGTTCTTTGCACCTTCTTCTTCTCAGCCTTTTATCGTCCATGTATGGACTTATTCCTCTCCCAACTCCTTCCATTGGTCTCTATACTGGGCAACATATTTCCAATTTGTTCCAGCTATTCTTTTAATGTCATCAACCCATCTCATCTCTAGTATTCCAACATTGGTCTTTTTGTCTAGCAGTGTGACCCGCGAAGCTCCATTTAAGTTTGGCAATTTTTACACCATCAATTGTCAATTTTTTAAATTTTCCACTCTTGAGATAGTGCATTACAGTACATTTGACTTTTTATAAGCTTTGTCCATCAATTTGTATTTGTACAATCTTCATGTTATTGATAACATCTAATAGTTGCAAAAATATGTCTTCATTTCTTGTATTTTCATGGAGGCTTTTTAATTCAGCAAGTTCTTTTGTTTATCAATTATAAATTATTCCGATAAAAATTCAACAAAATTTAGTGGTTCTAGTGATATTGTTGCTTTCATCAAGTGCTAAAAAATACTCAAATTGTGAAGAATTTTGTTTTAATGGATTCAACATTTATTAGTTGATATATATTCAATAAGTTCAACTACTGTACATGCAGACAAACTAATATTTTCAAATTTTTTCCGGACAAATTTCGTTAATAGCTGCCAAACTACATATTTTAATTATCTTTTATACTTTAAAAGTAATAAATAAAAATTATATAGTTGTTTATATTATTTTTATATCATTCTATTTAGGAGTTATTCATTCATTTTATTGCAAATTAGTTGATTGAGTAACTATAAAATAATTTTTTCTATTTATTTCAGGATATTAAAGAACGCAAACATAGGAATAGAGGTTTTTGCAGTTTCGTTAAAACTATGCTGCTCAAAGTTTTCCTCTTCACAAGATACTACATTGATATTCTCATAGACGTTATATTTGGATATTTTAATGACTCAAAGAGAGTTCCAATTAAAAAATGTACTAATCCAATAATTCTTGAAAGTGCTACATCTCTTGCACAAAAAATAAGAAAGAGAGAATTAACTTCAGAAGAAGTAGTACAAGCATTTGTTGACAGGATTAAAGAAGTAAATCCTGTTTTAAATGCTTTGGTAGATTCTAGATATGAAGCTGCTTTAGAAGATGCTAGAAAAATTGATAGAGATATAGCAAATGGAACAATTTTAGATGTTGATTTTCAAGAAAAACCATTTTTGGGTGAGTGTGTTTTTTATAGCATTCATTTATATAGGGTGTTTCATTAATAGTTGGAAATATTTTAACTGTAGATTCTTGGGCTCAAAATATTAGAGTTTAACTCACATCTCTTAAGTAAAATGGGGCTCCTTACTGAGTCACAGGTGTTTTATTTAAAAATTTAAAAACTATTTGTACCCAGTACTTTAAAACTAACATATAAGAAGAGGCGTTCGACAGGGATGTGTGTGTTCCCCTCTTTTATTTAACATTTATTCGGAAGCCATATTTCAAGAGTCTTTGGAGGATACAGAGATGGGAATCAAGGTGAATGGAGTATTGATCAACAACATACGATATGCTGATGATGGTGTCTTAATTTTTGACAACATAGTCGATCTTCAAAAACTTGTCACTATAATCGGAGAATACAGTGAGCGAATGGGATTAGAGATTAATACCAAAAAGATCAAATTCATGATCATCTCCAGAAACTTGGATGCGCTTGAAAACTCCACCATAACACTGAATAGTAAATCCATAGAAAGAGTGAGTAAATTTAAATACCTGGGATCGTGGCTTTTTGAAGACTGGGCATCGGACAGGGAAGTAAAATGTCGCATTGAGCAAGCTCGACAAGCTTTCGTAAAATTCAAGAAGGTACTGACTTGTTCAGAGTTCGATCTTCAACTGAGACTAAGGTTTACTAAGTGCTACGTATGGTCAGTGCTGCTATATGGCGTAGAGGGCTGGACACTCAAAACGAGGGATATAAACAGATTAGAAGCTTTCGAAATGTGGCTTTATTGCCGTATCCTAAAAATACCATGGACAGCGAAAATCACAAATATAGATGTCCTTAAAAGAATAAACCAAGAACGCCAACTTTTCGAAACCATCAAGAAAAGGAAAACGGCGTATCTAGGTCACATCATGCGAAATGAAAAATACCAGTTCCTCCAACTTATAATCGAGGGTAAAATTGAAGGAAGAGAGGAATGGGACGCAAGAAAATGTCCTGGCTCCGAAACATAAGGCAATGGACAGGGATTAACGACATACAATCTCTGATACATATTGCAAGAAATAGAGAATTAATGGAAAATGTGATCGCTAACATCCATTAGTGGATTTGCATCTGAAGAAGAAGAATCCTTGTCATAGCTGACAGAAAGTGTAGGTACTACCAGAAGTGTACAACAGGGGAAAGTGAATGCTTGACCCAAATTCTATGCCACTAGCAGAATTGCTGTTTTAGCGCAATTTTTCGATTCTTCAATACTTTCTATACAACATACTCTTTATTTGTAACGATAAAATTATTATTTTTCGAGATATAAGTTAAAAATGAAGCATAGAAAATGTATTGTAACATATACTCATCACATGGACTGTCTAGGACTTGGAGAACTTGTGAATGTTATCACTAATGCTGTTTTACTCCCAGAGTTCAATTTGGTGGAGGTGGTATAATTGTGTGGGCAGGAATTTCCCTAGAGAGGCTCATATAGAAATTGTTACAATTATTCTAGGGGACTATTTAAACAATGAAAGGTATATTGAACAATGTTTTGTAGATCATATAGTACCATTTGGTCCATTTGTTGTAGAAAACTTCGTCTGATGCAAGGCAATGCTTGAATTGTAATAATAACATGAGATTACTTGGTGAAATTAAGATTCCTTTATTACCACGGCCCACAAGGTGTCCAGACTTATATATAACTGAGCATGCATAGGATATTCTGGGTATTATTAGTTACTCAATTTGAAATATCTTAAACTTTTTTAAATGCCAGTTAATTTTGCACTCCAGTGCCTAATTCGGCAGAAGGGTTTTGCGTTATTAATTTTAGTTTTCAGTTTTCTTGATACATATTGATAGTTTAACTCTTAATCCTTCATTTGGCATGTGTAGAATTACCGTACCTTCATTATTTTCTGAATAATTTTATTGCAAAAAAGTCTCTGGGATGAACAAATGAAATAACTTTTAAGCTAATGGATGGATTGATCTGAAATTTTAAGGGTTTTGTTAAGGATCACAATACACAACTTTGGGCGCAATAACGAATATCTAGGTTGATTTTTTACAATAGTCCTAAATAATTAACAATTTTTCCTTATTTTGCAGTTTTCGAACCAATAAATTAATTTTACAACTTTTAGTAATCACAATTTCAAAATTTTTTAATGGTTACTGTAAACTGTATGTTCTTTTCTTAACTGTCGGCAAGACTTGGCAGTAATGTTCTGAATTTGCTAAATACATGCATTTCTTACTTGTACTTTGATTTTATCTTATCTGCACACTTTGCGGCCACTCGTTATCTTGGGCTATTGCACTCCTTTGTAATCTAAAATCTTAAAATGAGAATTTTCCAATGCTGACCATAATAATTCCAGATTATTGGTATTAAAAAACAATCTTTTAAAAGTACATTTCTCTTTCAGGTGTACCATTTACAACCAAGGAATCATCAGCTGTTAAAGGAATGTCATTTACCTTGGGTATAGTAAAGAGAAGAGGAAGAAGAGCTACTTTTGATGCAGATTATATAACCCTTATTAAAAACGCAGGAGCCATATGTTTAGGTAATGTAATAATACAGATGTAATGTAAATATTTGCTTCACATGTTTCTAGTTGTACTAATGATTTTGCCCGTCACCATGTGACCCTTCTACAACAGCAAATTTACTAAGATGTAAATTGGAGCTGGAAGGTCACATAATAGAACAAGTGATGACATTTAAATATCCAGGCATCACATTATCTAGATGCGGAAAGCTCAAAACCAAAGTGGAAGATCAAGTGAATAGAGAAAACAGAGCCATATACTGCCTAAATCAAACAATATGGAGAAATAAAAATATCGGGAAAGAAATGAAAGGTAGAATTTACAAAACAGTCATCAGACCAATAATGACATATGCGGCAGAAACAAGACCTGATACAGAGAGGACAAAAAGGATGTTAGAAACAGCAGAGATGAAAACACTTGATGAAAAATTGATGGTAAGACACTATGGGACAGAGCTAGAAGTACAGATACACGACATAAATGCAAGGTGGAGAACATCAAGAACTGGGTAAGAAATAGAAGAGTAGAATGGAACGATTATATAAGCCGAATGACAACAAATAGAGTAGTAAAGGCGGCAAGAGGCGGCTTCCCAATAGGAAGACGATCAGTAGGAAGACCACAAAAACGATGGAATGACTGCTGATCATATTCTCCGATTTCCTTAAATCTTTTGATATCGTTGTCCCTAACCTTGTAACGAAATATTTTGGCTCCCACATAGGGTATTATTATGGGGGTTTGAAAATTGGGGACAGAAGTTACTGGGGGTCGAGATAGGGCAAGCAAAATAAACGAGACTTATGCGAACGTCGATCGGGTTGTATTTAGAGAGTTGGGTCGTGGATAAGTAAATGGCAAGGGGGTTGGATTGGGTCAACTACAAAAAATGAAATAAAGGGGTACTTTCACGAGTCTCTTGAACAAATGGACAAAACACAAGAAGGTCCTAGGGTATCTAGGAGACAGAATCTCTCTCCTGATGCCGGCAATAATGTAGCTTCGCCCATTTTTAAAAATTTTAAAGTGTTTGTCCTTGTGTAGAGTAGTGTAATGTATAATTTTATGTTTATGACATTCTATAATTGCTGGATAGGTCAAAATTGAGGAAATGTCGCAGAACATGCTTTAGAAAAGCGAAAGTACTTCATTTGATCAAAGTTCATTCTATAGATACCGGTGATATCAAAGTGTGTCACGAAAAGGACTTTTTTTACTAATTTCTCTGGTCTATTAAGGAAAGTTTAGGGAAACTAATAATTACGGCAAAAATACAAGCCCAAACTAAATCCTTTTATAATTAGATTTTATCTGCTTCATTAATACTGCCTAAGATTAAAGCTTTATGAGAATATAATTACAATAATATTCTTTTAACAGGGGTGACAAATATACCACAGTTGAATTTATGGCAAGAAACACACAACCCACTATTTGGTATTACGAATAATCCTTACAATTCTACAAGAAATGTGGGAGGTTCTTCAGGTGGAGAAGCCAGTCTGTTGGCTGCTGGTGGTACACCTTTAAGCATTGGTAAGTCTTAGTAGTTTTGAAGTATCAATAGATTTATCTCATTTTTGTTAATAATATACCTATGTACATATTAAATAAATAGCATGTAATAATTATTATATTGGTAATTTTTCGTGATCATAATTTTAATTTTGATTTTTTATCAGTTTCGAAATAATCTAAAAATATTTGTTTGCATTTTATTTTTTTTGTGCACCCCTTCATGGCCCTGTACTCATATTAAGGACACTTTATTGTCTTTTGCCAGTTCCTAACCAATTTTGTTTAACCAATCCTTGTTAGCAGTTTAAGAGTTGTGTAGGGCAAGGTGAGATTTTACAATAATTGGTAGGATTTTTACTATTCCCTCTTTTGTGCATTCTCGAGAATTTGAATGGTAGTACAATTTCAAGTTTTCTCAGACTAAATACCATTATTAAGAAATTTTTAAAATATTTCAACTTTTCTTATTCTTTAAGGTACTGATATAGGGGGATCAGTCAGGATTCCTGCATTTATGTGTGGCGTTTTCGGTCACAAACCTACTTCTCATTTAATTTCAACAGCTGGTAAGTACCATTTTTTTTTTAGAATATTTATCTGAACTTTAACTATTTACATTTGCATAATTGTATGTCAAATTTATCTTTTTATCTTGAACAATTTTAGATTTTTAGATTACTTAATTTTAATCAGATCATTACAGTTTTTTAAAATATGTACTACAAGTAGAATGAGTACATTGTTACGATCTGATAAGATTTTTATTTTACTATGTATTATAGATCAAGGTTATATTTACGTAATTAGCACGTATTTTATGGTTTATATATTGATAAAAAAATAAGAGGAATCAAAAATAGGTTAAAAATACAAATATGATATTAAAAATCAAGTCAAACGAAACAAAACCAATATAAACAAACCAAGGAGCAAAACAAGGTTGAGATATCGCACTAACTCTTTTTGATCAACATCAAAAGAAAGTGGGATAAAATAGTGCAGATATTCATGCAAATCAGAGGAAGAATATCAAACCTAAATAAGGATAAACATATGAAACAAGATGTAATTAATGTTGATAATCTTCGCGTTGAAACCGTTGCGAGAGATTATAGGAGACAAATGGATGAGGAAATAGGGAGTCTGGAAGCGGGGGAAAATGTGTAGGAATTGTGGGCAAAATGTAGAAACATAATAACTGAGGAGGCATCGGAAATATTGGGGAAAACCAAACCAGTTAGACAAAACGAATGGTTTGACGAGGAGTGCCAAGAAGCAAGGATGAACTCACTACAAGGGGATGCCCTTGCTTGCCTCCTATTTAACATTGCCTTGAAAAGGCAGTCGGGGACATACGAATTAGAGACGGCTGTACTATTTACAATAGCTCGATACAAATCTTGCCATCAGTGTCCGCCGATGACATTGACAAAATAGGGCGTAGTAAGCGAAATGTTGAGCAATCTGTCCTAGAATTGAAAATGGCGGCGAAATAAGTCGATCTAGTTATCTACGAAGTCAAAACCAAGTACATGTTGGTTACTAAGGATCCTATAGCAAATGAGGAACGGGAAAACAGCATTTGGAAGTTATATCTTTGAACTTCTGGGAATATTCGAGCGTAAAATACTGCGCAAAATATTTGGAACAAAGAAAAAAAATAGATAGAAAGAAATGGAATGTACAGAAGCTGAGAGATGCAACTGTTGCAAAACAGTACTGGGAAAATATTACCAATAGGTTAAGAAATCAAAGTCCAAGCGAAGAACATCAGAGAGATATAGACTCCTACTGGAACAGGATAAAGGAAGATATTGAGTCAGCAGCACAGGATGAAATAGGAACAGAAAATTCGAAATACGTATCAACAGAATTATGTTTCGAAACTATTTTACGGTTTTATTGCCAGATGTCGCTATTGCGTCCGTATTGAAACCATTTTAGTGTTGCTTCTTAAAAGACAGAAAATATTGATCTTTCACGTTGAGAACACCTTTGAATAACTGTTCTGATGAGACCTATTAGGTCGAAATACGTATCAAAAGATACAAAGGCGCTTTTTGCGTGAAATCAAATATTTGCTGTTTTTTCACTTTACAAAAGTAAAACTCTACAAAACAATAATACGCTCAGTCCTAACATATGGTTCAGAAACCTGGACTTTAACAAAAAGCAATGAAAACATGTTAGGATGTTTCGAAAGAAAAATGCTAAGGCGAATCTATGGAGCGGTAAATGAAAATGGTGTCTGGAGAAGACGATACAACTTCGAACTCTATAGAATACCAGGAACCAGATATCGTAAAACACATTAAGATAGGACGTCTGAGGTGTGTAGGCCATGTAATGCGGATGGAGCAAACCGACCCAGCTAGAAAAACGCTCTTTGATAGACCTATTGGTCAAAGAAGAAGAAGACCCAGAACAAAATTGCTAGATAACATAAACCAAGATATGAGAAATATGGAAATACGTGCTTGGCGGAGGAAGGTGATGGATAGGGACGACTGGAAGAGAATTCTTGGGGAGGCTAGGATCACACAGGGTTGTAAAGCCAAAATGATGATGATGAATATTTATAACTTTAAACGATCAAGAGCAGTGGCATAAAAGATTTAATTTCGAATTATACCTCTTAAAAGCTAACGACAGGAACACCTATAGGAAGAAAAAAACAACATTTTTAAGTTCGAAGCTGTTTTGACCATATACGCTGTTGACCAGAAAGCGTAAGCCTTTATTAAAGGAAAATGGTTCTGACGAGTTCTTGTTATTGCTTCATTTATAAATCTGGATGTGTTACAATTTATACTGCATAACTCCTTGGAGTTATTTGATGCATGCATTATTCCGATATTAACTTATGCAGCACAAACATGGACAATCACAAAAAAGAATATGAATATACTTAGAGTCACTCAACGCGCGATGGAAAGAGCAATGCTAGGGATATCACTTAAGGACAAGAAAACAAACACATTGATAAGACAGAAAACCAAAGTCACCGATGTGGTGCAAAAATCATTAAAGTTGAAATGGGAATACGCTGGACATGTAGCTAGGAGCGATCTAAACAAATGGCACAGATCAATTTTAACCTGGAGACCATACCAACACAAAAGACCCAGAGGCAGACCTCCTATGAGATGGACAGATGATCTGAAAAGGACTACCGGGAAAAATTGGCTACAAGTAGCGTACAATAAAAAACAATGGAAAGGAAGACTTGAAGAGGCTTATGTTCAGATGTGGACGTGAATGGCTAGACGAAGAAGAAGAAGAAGAACTCCTTAGAGCAAATTAAATATCATGTGGTTGGAATTTCTTTATCAAGAGCTCCGATAATTAAATTTACTACATGTTTTTCACAAGTATCCGTCGTTTCGTTTACTGTAAATCAAATATAGTAGCTGTCAATTTTTATTCCTTAAACAGTTTATTTAAAAATTTATTTAATGGTAGGTATGTTAGATTGTACCAAGGCTGTACATAATTCGAGATTTACACCTTCTTTGTTCGCTATACTCAGAAGTTGATGTCAATGATTCTGTAATGGTGAATTATTTTGATTTAATTTTATGTTTTTTAGACACTCTTGGTGCATAGATGTTGTTACGTTTTGTATTTTTTGCTGTAAGTAAAGATTTGGTCTGCGCAATAATAAACTTACAGAATTTGGGATTTTTATGGAGCCAAAATAGTCAAAATTACTATCCCAAGTATAATAGCTTGATGACAACATTTGTTCCACTGAAACTGTTGTCGTAAGCTTAGTTCATAATGTGTCAATTTAGACAATAATAGTTTAGTTCTGATTGCTTTATTCATAAAGTGAAAAATTGGTCAATTGCATAAACTACACTCACCGGCAAAATTAACGGAACATCTTAAAAATGGGACATGTTAGATGACTCGAATTTCCTAAACCTGTTGTCCGATTTTAGTGATTTTTTTAGTGTGTTATAGGTATATTATTTAAGAATATCAATGAAATAATATTGTTGCTAGACTGGTCAATGTCATTTTATACCGGGTATAACAATCATACTGTGTCTTTTCCTTAAAGTTCGAAACACCCTGTGGAATATTCTAGCATATATAAAATATTGAAATTAAAGCTCAATTCTAGTCTCAGACTTTCTTAACATTTTCTTTTATGATTCATTTGCTTGTGTTGGATAATAAAAAAGTTAGGTACGTTAACAACTAGCCATGTTTTTCATCAATAAATGCTCATTTTCTTCTTAGTTTCACCAGCATATTTACAGGAACAACCATAAAATCTGAGTATTTTCTCTCTAGTCTATATACTGTTTAGATAATATCATAATACGAATGTTGGTGAAGTATTTTGAATTTATATTACAATGGTAGTACCATATAAAACCTGTTTAAGAAGAAATAAAACACAAAGATGTCAGACTCAACAAAATACGGATTTTAAACGCAATAACTTTATTGTACAGTTTGAACTTAAATTGGTTTTTTATGCATTTTTTTGGCTTTAATAGCGTGTGTTTCCCCTACGAGCCCTTACAACTGCAGTTATTCGTCTTCTCATACTTCTGATACCGCTATCGATCAGTTGTTGGGCAGTCTCTCCCATTCCTCAATCAAAGCAATTGTGACTTCCTCTCTGTTTTGAATAGCAGGAAGCCATGCCCTAAGTTTTCTGCCTAGCATGTCCCACATATCCTCTATCGGGTTTAGGTCTGGGGAACAAGCTGGCCAATTCATCGTTGTTATACCCACTTGTAATAAGAAATATCTTACACAGTCTGCGACGTGTGGGCTCGCATTATCCTGCATTAAAATAAAATTTTCGCCAATATATGGTGAAAAATGTACCACATGGTCTTGGAGAATATCACTGATATACTTATCTGCTGTTAATGCTCCATCATCAATCACCACTAACTCTGTTATTGCTCCCAAACATATAGCGCCCCACACCATAATTGAACCTCCACCAAAAGGTACGGTCGTAGTAAAATTGAAAGGAGCATTTCGTTCTCCTTGGCGTTGATACAATCTTTCTCTACCGTCGATGTAATTTACACAGAAACGGCTCTCGTCCGTAAAGAGAATTTGACTCCAGTGGTTATCATTCCAATTTTGATGTACTCGACCAAATTGTAGTCGTGCTAAACGATGGTGTCTCTGGAGTCTGGGAGCTTTTATTGGCACATATGACTTGAGACCGGCTTTTTTAAGTCTCTTTCTTACTATGCGCTCAATTAAATACAAGTTTGTACTTGTTATGAACAGACAGAATGACTGTAAAATGTAAAACACAATACAAATAAACAAATTAATTTGACATTTAAGACTTTCTTGTGACAAGGAGCTTTCAAAGCTATGTAGATATAGTCTATAAAATACAAATATAAAGAAATATTGCATTAATAACAGGTTCCTTTAAATTTGCCGGTGTGTGTATTAAATTGTTAACTTCTCATAGCCTACTTTAGGCTTGTTTATTAAACTAAGCAGAAAATGAGGATTTATTGATGAAAAACATGGCTAGTTGTTAACGTACCTAACTTTTTTATTCTCAAACATAAGC